TAATAAAATATATTAATAATAAGTTTTCCAAAGAAACAGATGTTAAAAAAATAAAATAGAAGATTTAAAAAAGAAAAATTTGAAATAATATTTATTCATACAAAATTAAAAATAAAAAACAATAGATAACTTTATATATAAATATTATAATTTTTGAAAATATAGTTTAGAATTTAAAAATTATTAAGGCTAAAACTTATAATAAAACGCCATTTTATATACAATATACTGTATATAATTGAATTTAATTTCAAAAACTTAAAACATCAAATTGAATTCGAATTTACAATTTTTAAAAAAAATATTCTTCTTGATTACTTTAATAACTTAAACATTTTAAATATATTTTATTACTTATATAATATTTAAAAAAAAATACTACTGTAAATTGCCGCATAAACCACTCCGGGTCTATTACTTTAAACTAGAAAAGTTAATTAGTAAAAAAAAAGAAAATTTTTAGCAAAAAATGGAGGAATAGTCTACTATAAAGGGGGTGAATTATGCAGCAATCTACTGTGATATTATTTTGTAGTTTCATGATCAAATTAATATTAATTATTTTCAATTCATCAAAAATAAAATGTATAGTAAATTTAATATCAGATTTTGCCAATATCATAAAAAAACAGTCATAAAGATGGAATATCGATCACCATAATATCTTCTTGGTGCTTCCCCAATGAACCCAATATGCGAATTGAACCTTGAGGTGATATAAGCATAATGCTACTACTACCGCAAAAACTTAAACCTAAATAAAGCAATATAATTACTAATTATAGTAAAATTTTTACATAAAACTACTCGACTTACCATTCTCTGTCCCAGTACGATTACACACAACGAACAAAACGTTACGATTCGTTGCTGTCTTCGGATTGAGTGCACTAGTCAAAGGTAATAACCTTTCACACCAGTAGTCAATATTTGAGGCATCAGGAACTTCAGTATCTTTATAATGATCACTAGATTTTTCACCCGATGCCAACCACGCCATCGAACAGAGTATGATATCGGTTTTTTGATGAAGATGAAAATTTGCGAATTCATAGGCATCGAACGGAGCCATAAATTTATATGGATTAATATCCATGCATATACCAAATCCAACCTATTAAATGGTGTAATTAATTTGTTACTATACAACAAAACATTCAAACTAATTGATAACTAACCTTTCCCAAACCAGGCGCATTTATCGACTTAAACCCTGGTCCTTCATCTGCCCAATTTTCATCCGTCATGAATAAAAACGTCTTGGAATATGTTTCTATTAGTTCTCCATCAGGACCAACGAAACATATACTATTATAATATTTATCAGGACTTCCTATAAATTATATAAGTCAGTTGATTTCGGAGCAACGATGAATAAATTTCGATTATTAAATACTGTACGTACCTTTAACGATTTGAGGATATCCGACCATAACAAACGCGCGTAATCTTAAAGCTTCCGATTGAAATAATATAAATCTGAGCGAACAACATGAATTAATAGCTAATATAAAAAATTACCTTGTTCTTTGGCCCATTGGACCGTAGGTCCTGTCTCTGCATTTTCCAAAAAAGGTCTAATATGTTCCTTATTTTTAAAAACATAACCTAAATATTATAAAGTAAAAACCAAATGATATAGATTATTAGGATAATTGCGAGCACCAAATCTTTATATGTACCAGTGAAGGCCATTTCCGGTAGGACTAAAATATCGATGTCACCTGGTCGAAACCTGTAAGAATACATAAAATATATAATGGCATAATAGAGTAAGAAGGCTAGGATTATATAAAAAAGAATTGGTCAAGTAAATGAAACACAATTCAACCTTTCCAACAATCTAGTCGCGAAATTTTGATTCCTCTCAACTTTTTCGAGAATCGGATTAAATTGGAGACAGGCTTAATTAAATCGAAAAGGTATTGTATTAATAATAAAAATTACAATAATTCGAATTCACTGGTTTCTTACCAACTTTCATTTTTTAAATGTTATGAAACTTGATACTGTTTTGGTATGTTTTTAATCAAAACTATATTCAATGGAAAACCCTAAAATCAAAACATGAAATATAGTATACAATTCGATTAGTTTACTCACCTTTTTTTTGCGGATTTTTTAGCTACAAAATCTCGATAACACCAATTTATAAATTTTTAATGGAGACCGGAATATCATGACATTAATACGAGATTTTTTAAATTTAAACCGTCTATATTAATCATTCAAATTGAATAGTTTATTTGGTGGAGAAGTACTGTATGTATTCACATATAGGATCTAATTCATCTTAAAGATGTTTTATATAATTAAAGTCTGAACTGTACAAAAGTAAGAAATTAATACAATAAAGTTGCAGCATGAATCTTGACTTTTACATATTATGAAACTATTATATACATATATTTTAATTTAATATTAATTGAATCTTTTAATTTTTTTTTTTTAACTCCTCATGACGTGTCTTTAATATCTAATAATTAACTGAATCTTTTAATTTATTATTATTATTTTTTTAAAAAAAATTAATTTATTATTTAACTTAAATTTTTTTTTTAAAACCTGTAATCAGATTAGCATAGTGTGTTTATTAATCTTTAAAAAAACCAATAGAGATATATAGGGCAATTGCGTTATAATTAAATTAAATCTTATATTAACTTACTTATTAATGGTTTTTGATTCTCAAATAAGCTTTAATCTCTAAGTGTAATATTTTGTTCCATAATAAGTTTTGAATAAATATTCTCTTAATTTACATATTATTGCTAGCAGGTTATTACTATCTATTATTCTTTAAGAACCTAATTTCAAGAAATTACAAAAGGAAAAAAAAAAAAAGATTTAAAAATATACAATTTTGTTATATAAAAATAAATAAAATATTTCATATTTTTCAAATAATCTTTGCTAAAAACTTTTTCTTATTAGAAACCAACTCTTTTAAGATATTCTTTTTCTTTTTGATTATCTAAAAAATTTATTTATTTATGATCTAGATTATTTTTTTATGACTATCTAAAATATTTATTATTTACTCAAATTCAGTATTCTGTTTAATACTTCCTTTTTTTTATATTGATTTTTTTTTTTTTTTTTTTAAATAGGCTTATGCCTAACTTTATTGAATCCCAAATTACAAGTTTACATTGTACAAAGCATGAATACATGAATGTATATTTGGGGAATATAAAGATAACGATAAGTTAAAGTTATTCTAAAGCTACTTCGAGGCTTATTGCCCTTTCTTTTTACAAAGAAAACCAACATCCCTAGAGCGTGCTGGTATCATAAATGAAAAATAAAAAAATAAAAGAAAAAATTGACAGTCATATGGAATGTGACAGTTCTGTTTCTTGGCACATGCCTGTCTTGTTTTAATTCCTCATAAGAAGGTCTGAGGAAAACTTCTACTGAGTCTTTACAGAGATAATATAAAGACCAAAGGGGAGACTATACAGTTTTAAGGCTTATGGGGAGGAAGTAGCCAGGAAGGCCCAGGTGATATATTGGTGTCTGTGTGATTGACTTGAGAGTCTCCCAGTATATTGTCAATTAAACCCATTCCTATTTAAATATGTATATACTGTACTTATCTATCTGTGCATCTTATTTCAGATTTAATTCCTTATATTAAGGATAGCACCTAGCCTGCCGGTCAACATATCCTGTTGATGGCCATTGGTACTAATGATCAACGAGGATCTTCCAGACATTCTAGCCGGCTCGCACATTACTACTGACATTTTTGGACTCGAGTTTCGATTGATGTGGCGGTATTAACCTTCCAATCTTCCAGCTCAAGATTTTTTGAAGATAGGATGAAAACTTCCTGGATTACTTTGTGCATGAGCTTTATCACTGAATATTCTAAGTGGTTTTCTGCTTTCTCTGATTTAGACTTTCCGGACAGTAAAGATTGAAACCTACCTGACATACAATCAGAAATAGACGACTTTGATCTTTAAAAGGTAGGGATCTAGCGTCTTGTGACCTTTACCATGGTTGAACAGACTCTTTTCTGTATCCAATAATGTGTCGATACTATGTCCTATATCCATCTGCACCAGACAAAATGACTTATGATGGATCCCAGGTTTTTATGGAGCTAAGGAAATGCATTCCGAATATTGATTTTTATTCATTTATGTAATCAAATAACTTATAATGAAATTTTTTTTTTTTTACTCTTTGTCAAACTAATTATATATGTTTTATTGAATATTAGTATACTATATATATGAAATGAGTTGCTAAAATCAAATATCTAATTAATTTACTTATCTTGGTTATTATCATTTTAAGTATAATTTCAAAAGTGATTTATTGCTCCATTAGTAGCTCAGGTAAAAATTCTTTCAATTACTAATTTCATTGCCTATAGATTACTATTGCAGATTCTTCTTGTAAGTTCTAACAGAAGTTAAAATTCTAAATATCTTATTCCATACTTTACTTTTCTAGAAAGGTTTGTATAAAGTGATGTCTCCACAAGAAAATATATTAGTTGTATGCCTTGTTTCTTTCTTCTTTTGTCTTAAAACAAACTACTGTAAAGTTATACTTGCTGAGTATATAGAGATTTTTGGATATATAGCATATCTTAGTTTGTATACCATTCAATGCTCTAGCTATTAGACTAATATTTAAGATCCTCATCTTTAAGTTTTTCTTTTTTCTATAAGAACTTTTTTATAATTGTGATCTTGTTATTCTAATTTAAAGAACTGGCTAATCTTCTTATTTTGTCTTCTCTATAATTCTTTTATGCTTGTTTCTACTTAATTATTCTTAAGCATCTTTTATTTCAGATCTTCTTTCAAAATTAATTGCAAATCTTCTTCCATATATTTATTATCTATTTTCAGGCTTCTTTACCTATTCTTTTTTAGCAACATTTTAAGTTTAATATTTTTAATATCTAATTATATCATATTAGTTCCATATAGAAGTTTAGTATGTTCTAACCTGTTTTTACAGTCTCTTCTATAAGTTTGGTTATACTGTATATTTGTTCAATTCTTTTAATTCTACTCTATCTTCAATCAGAAGTCTTATTTCTTTCTTTTCTATCTCTTTTTTTCTTTTATACCAAAATTTTTGAAAGTCTTTTAAAATGCTTTCAATTTCTTTGTTCTATATTTCCTGTTATTGAACTTTATATGTTAGATATTCTAGTAAGCATTTTATTATTCCTGCTTATTGTTTGCATGCTATACACTCTACTTGTTTATATACAGTATATCTAATCTTTTTATGACCAATTTAGAAAGTAATGATAACTCTTTATTAATTAATTTGATAAAAAAACTTTTTTTTTGAGAATCTTTAAAGAAGATGTTCCAAGTATATTTATTCTTTATTCTTTTTCATATCAAATTTCATATGTAATTATGTTAATCTCAAATCTGTTGATTTTTTTTATTCAAAATCCTATTTTGTTTTATCTATTGATAAGCTTTAACTTTGCTGTTTATATTTTTAATAAATTATCATATAAAATTATTTTAAGTAATTTTATACTATTTAATTTTGATAATAATTTTAAATAAAATAAGATTTTTTTATTTGATTATAGAAAACATTAAGGTTTTTTTTATTAAAATATCTGTTTTTTCATTATATAGATTATTAAAATATGTTTTAATCTTGACCAGTTTCAGATTCAGTTTTTTTTTTTTAATAATATCCAATATTCTTAGTTATAGAAACCAGTTCTTTTCCTTCAATTATTTTTTGTAAATTCTTCTGGGATTCTCTTTCTTTTTTTTTTTTTTTTTTAAACCCTCTGTCAGGTTAGTTAAGTGTGCTTTATTAAACATTTGTAAGCCGTACATATTAAATGAAATGCTAAAGTTAAATCTCTAACTAACTCACTCGTTTTGATTATATTACCTCTCTAAGTGCAACTTCAGGAGTGATTTATCACTCTGTTAGAGATTCAGGTGAAGACCCTTCCAACTTCTAACATCATTGCCCATAGGTCACCACTGCAGATCACTCTTTTAAGCTCTGACAGAGATCAAAACCCTAATCACTTCTTACTATACTTCACTCCATTTAATAGGATTTCTTCCAACTTCTTGTCTTTGACTCTTTTTTCTTCATATATCAGTTTCTTACTGGATTGACTTTCGGTGATTTTATTTATCTTTTCCTGATCACGTGGATGTAACGGTCTTGTTTTCTTATCATATTTGCAGATTCCTAACTTCCATTCCCATTCAATCACCTTTTCACATCTTGCATTCCATATTTTCTTTCAGAAGTGATTACGTACTTTTTCTTGCATCTTCATTATCCATTTTCTAGCTTCTTTTCCAATTATCTTGCCATGATATGTCAAATCTGCTATATTGATAACTAGTTCTTCCTCTATTAGTCCCATACAGAAGCTAAGTGTGTTCTGACTGGTT